TTGTAAAGCATGTTCTACTCCAAGTAAATCACATACTCATATTTTGAAGACTGAAGGAGAACCCTTAAAGGATCCCACTTTGTATCGTAGTGTTGTTGGTGCACTACAGTACCTTACATTTACAAGGCCATATTTAGCATATGCTGTCAATACAGTGTGTCAATATATGACCACACCAACTGATGCTCATTTCTATCTTGTTAAGAGGATCTTGAGGTATATACAAGGGATATTACAATTTGGTATTCTCTATTCACCTGGTCCTATTTCTATCAGTGCTTACAGTAGGCAAGAGATATCTCAACTCGTAGGTCTACTACTGGTTATGTAGTCTTTCTTGGTCCTAATCTAGTTTCTTGGCAGTCAAGAAACAAGGATCCATTTCTCATAGTTCTACAGAAGCAGAGTATCGGGCTCTTGCTAACATTTCTGCTGATGTTGCCTGGATAAGACAAGTGCTAACAGATCTTCATGAATTTCATCCTGAGCCTCCAATGATTCATTGTGACAACATGTCTGCCTTAGCCCTTTGTTCTAATCTAGTCTTTCACTCGCGTATTAAGCATCACGATATTGATTACCATTTTGTGAAAGAAAGGGTTCAACGCAAAGATATCTTAGTGCAATGCATTCCAACAAATAAGTAAGTTGCAGATGTATTTACAAAAGGACTTCGTGCACCTGTGTTTTCATAGCACTGTATCAATCTCAGACTGGGAAATCCAAATTGAGCTTAAGGGGGGATGTTTGGCTAATAGCAAGGGTGCTCAGGTGCCAAAACGGTTGAGTTAATCGTGGGTGTTAGTTTGTATTAGTTGTTGTAAAAGTCACATGTATCTCTCTGTTAGTTAGGAAGAGCTAGCTTAATTACTAAGCAAAGCTAAAAGTATAAATGGCTCTGGGGTACTGTAATATTCAGGAATTACAAACAAACTTTCAGATAATATTCTCATTTTCTCTTTATGATTTCTCAATTCTTCTTCTTCTTCTTCTCAATTCTTCCTCATTTGTTAGTAGGACTGACGTGCTAGAGTAGGGGCAAAACCGCAACATACTCATTTGGTCAAACAAGATCTTTAACTCCCAAAACCTTATAGCCCAATCTCATATGTTAACCATTGTGTCATGGGGAACACGAATGAGGAGTTAGTGGAGAACTCAGTAACTATGGGATATATTGATGTAGGGATGTGACAAAGGGTTTGTGATTGAGGGCAAATAAAAGTGGATAGGCTAAGCTACAAGAGGACAAAAGGAAAAAAGCCAGGAGAGGAATAAGAGGGAGAAGTATGTGTTGAAGGAGCACAATGAGAACGATGGTCTAGAAGAAGCAAGAATGGGAGAGGTGAAGAGGTGAAGTAGAGACAGAGGATGGGAGATAAACATGGTCGATTGAGAGGAGGACAAAGGTATAAACCACCACAAAGAATCGATTGTTTGGGGTGGTCAGTTCTCCATTATTGGGTTATGCAATAACAGTGAAGTGTTTTTGGACTTAGCAATCTTAGTTATGCCTAATAGTACAACACTTTTGCACTCGACAATCTCAGTTGTGGAGTAACAAGTGCTTATGCATTCGGCTTCTTTTTACAGTTTCTCAAAAGTGATACCTATATCCACCCTAGCACCCTGCATTTAGATGTTAAAAGTTGCCATGCTTCATCTTACAAAGATCCATCAACTCATTTTCCGATGTAATACAAAAGTATCCCATATGAAGTGCTCTTGAGCCATTGAAGGGTTTGCACTACTTGTTTACCACAATGTTGCCACTATAGGCTTGCTCATAAAAAATAATAATAATAAATTGTTGCCACTTTGACACTAACTAAAGTTACGATATTAATATTGAAAATTCCCAAACTGGCTAACAAAGAGTGACTATGACTTCTAAGAAGTACCAAATTCAGCTAACAATTTCTTAAGATTATAGTATCTCTAAGGAGCTATAAGGAGTGATCCAATAGTAAAACTAGATAATTCAATACAATCTTTTTGCCTCCAAAGAAGTCATTACATTAATCTAATTTATCTTGAACTAACCTATCTCAAAATCTCAACATTAGCTAAACTTCAAAAACTCTTAGCAAACAATCAACTCCAACAAAACTCCAATGTGAATTCATCTAGAGAAACATTATTTAGTTAGGATTTTGGTTACTTATCCGTTTATTTAGTCCCATTGTAATTGAGATTAATTTTTTATTTTATCTCTTCTAGGATTAACACATGTTTGTGCTTCTTTATAAATACCTCCATATTGAAGAAGAATACATATATGAAAGTTCTCATATACTTTATTTAGCAAATCATAATATCAAGTTCTTTTTTTATTTTTTATTTTTAACCAAGACAAAAGTCTAACATATTAGAATCGAATCGTATTGTAATAGTTTGGTTCGACTGCAGTTTCGGGCTTTTACGAATTGATCTAAACTGAACCGGAATGTCTACTTGTATATTTATATTTCTTTTATGTTATATTACATGTGTAATCCTCTCATTAGATAATAACTAGATAAAGATGTTGAATTTGAAGTTTGATCGATCAAACTTTAAAGTTATTCTTTGACTATATTAGTTTTTTTTTTTTGTTGGATAAATATGTTAGTTATTTAACTTTTAAATTTTATGGCATGTTGAATTTTACAATAGTTAGCCCTAATGTAACACCCCGGCCTAATTAAGTAGTTTATTTAATTATTTAATTGCGAAATTACATTTTTGCCGTTGGGGTAGGGGCACTTTAGTCACTTTTTATTTAGAAAGGAATTTGGGTAATTGAGCAATACCGTTGCGTAAAGCTCATCGATACGAGTTCGTAGATAGGTGGCATGGTCAATTCCAATTTGAAACGAAGAAGTTATGATCTACGAAAGTGCAGTGACACAATCGTAATGTTGGAGAAGTCAAAACTAAATACCCAGGGTCAGCCTTCCACATCATTTCTCTCTCTCCCCTTCACTTGAGAGGTACAATACCAGCAATGGCTATAGTATCCTGCGTTCTATAGTAACTTCCACCTTTTCGTCAATCGTAACTTCCACCTTTTCGTCAATCGTTCATCGTCGTCTGACCATAGCTATCGACGCCGTTAGTACCAAAACTTGTTTTTTGGCCACCACACGCCACCACATGCCATCACTTGGCTACCAAAAGCTTCCCCAAGCTTCCCTCGACCTCTCCCACCCATGACCCGACTAGATTCATCATTGGAAAAGCCGCATCAACGATGTGAAATCTTAGGGTTTTCTGGCAAGAAAACCCCATTTCTAGCCACTTCCCGGCCAAATTAGAGGTTGGTCCAAGTATTCAATCTCCGCGTACTCCACATGAGGGACCCTTTTAGAGGTTAGGCAGCGTTGGACTTATTGTGAGTGGACATTCATTTTCACTGAGCACTATTTTCATATGTTGAATGCATACATAAATATTGTTTTGAATGAATTTGGTTTATATTGGTTCTTTGGGATTATGGAATTGCTTGCATAATTATTAATTATTTGGAAATTGGTTATTTGGGTTTAATAAGGTTATGGAATATATTATCGGATTGGTTTCGGCTTTTATAATGTGATATGGGAATTTTGGAGATTATTAATTATAAAGGATATGAATTTTGGGTTTTGGATTATGGTGATATTGGGTTTGTTTATGAAATTTGAATATGGGGTTTTAGTTTATATGGACATATGTGTGGATTTATTTTCAGGTTGAGGTTTCTTGAGCATGTGCATTGAGAGTACTATGTACATGTATGAGCTTTTTAAATGAATTTTGGATTGGACATTTGGATTCTCGTAAGAATACTTGGCTATTTTATGTTCTTGGCAAGCATGCACCTTAGTAAGGGCATGGTTGAGGGTGGATTTACTTTGAAGGTGCTGATTTTACTGTTTTCAATATGGCATAAGTGAATGGGTTTGAAATGTTTTCCAAGAAATTGGGAACTATTAATTATTTGGTTTTCCTTATCGCATGCTATGATATTATTATACTGAATTGAAATATTTTCAAGTATTAGATGGTATTTATGTACGTATACAAAGGATTATGTTGAATGGTGTTTCGGCATTATTTTCTAAAATGGATGGGGTTATTATGTTGAATATAAATTATGTTCCAAATTTATTTTCGTCCACTCATATTTCTATGTTTTGCACCCCGAGGTTCTAGATATTCGAGGTTGAGACGACCACGTCGAGGAGTCGCGATTGTTCGCACCGTAGGAAATTTCTTTTATTATTCTTTACATTATGTTACCCCATGTTGTAATTATAATCATTACTCGCTCTAATTTGCTTGATTTAAGTTTGGGTAGTGTGAGCCTGAGGGTTTATTTGAATTGTCTTAACTGTCGTGTGTGCCTTTAACTTGTGCATGCTGAAAGTTGGAATTATTAATGTATTTGTTTACACGTGTTTGAAATTTGGGAATTGTTCCAATTACAGTTGAGACCCTGCCGAAATTTCGACAAGAGTCGAAGTCTTAAGTAATTTAGATGAATGAATTAGGGCGTTTTAGTAAAGTAGGTCCAACATTGGTAAGATGTCGGACGAGCACAAGGTTCGTCATGGATTCCAAGGGGGAATCCAGAGCGGGTCCTGTCACCTAAATCTTTCGAACCAAACTGTGTAAAATTAATTAGATTTGGTTTCCTTAGTGAGTTTTGTCAAAACCAAACCATTCTGTTGTAGTTTGATGTAAAACCGATTCAATCCAACTTTGGCCTACCCTTACCCATAACTATTACAAACAACATTACAAAATTACACAACAATAATAGTGTTGTTAGAATCACTCCCAAATAAGTCCTAAATGTAGTGTTGAGATTTGATTAAGTAACTTTTTATTTTTGAATTTATCGCAAGAATCACTTCCAAATGAGTATAGTATTGAGATTTGATTAAGTAATTTTTTATTTATTGAATTTATTGGTACTTTTATTTCAGTTTTTGGGGGTCTTAACTCTGAATCCAAACACTCACACTGGAATCAACTCACTTCGACCTGATAAAAGCATCCTCTGCTTCAAAAATCATGAAACCCCCCATTTACTCTCTCAGAGACTATGGGGGACCGAGAGCGAGACAGGGACCGGGACCGCGACCGAAACCGTGACAGAGATCGAGACAGAGAAAGACGCCGGGACAGAGACGACCGTGATCGTGATCGGGACCGGGACCGGGACCGGGACCGCGTCCGCAGCAAGAGGTCGCGTACACCGGAGCGCATCAGACCACGCCACACCCGCTCCCGCACGCGCTCGCCGGACCGGTACCGCTCACGCACTCGCTCAGTCTCCCGCTCTCGCTCTCCGGACGACCGGTCCCACCGTCGGCGCCACCACCACAACCGTAGCCCATCTGCGGAGGCACGCAAGCGGCAGAAGCGCGAGCCGACCGCCGAGGACGAGAGGGAGAGGCAGAAGGCGGCGGTGGCTGACTTCGTCGAGGGCATCGCGAAGGAGCAGAAAACTCAGCAGAAGCAGAGCAGCGATGGCGGTGGTGACGAAGGCCTGGACGAGGACGAGATTGAGATGATGAAGAAATTTGGGATTCCGACTGGATTTGACTCGACGAAAGGGAAGCCCGTGCCTGGCGCCGATGTGAGCGGCATTAGGGCGGTCACTAAGCGGCAGCCGAGACAGTATATGAATCGCCGCGGTGGATTTAATCGGCCTTTGCCTGCTGAGCGTAATCGCTAGATTACTGGTTAGGGTTTATAATCCCTTTGGCTTTTGGAATGTGCTTATTTTTCTGTTTAAGTTTACTAAATAAGTTGGATAGTGTTGGTATATTTTAGGGTTTATAATCCCTTTGTTTGCTCTTTGATTTAGGGTTTTGGAATGTGCTTACTTTGCTGTTTTGAGTTTACAAACTAAGTTGGATATTGTTGAGTGTGGTATATGCTAGTTTATGCTTTATTTTGTTCTTGTTTGTGGTAATTCGAATGACAATATTTATATTTCAAGTTTTTATTTTTATTTTCATGTTGCAATTGACCTAAGTTATTCATCAACAAATCCATGTTATTGTGTACTTTTCCCATTTTGTAGGTTCTAGCCTTCTAGGGTAGGTTAGTCTTGTTCCTAGTATTCAGATGGTGATTTGTTCTGCTTGAGAAGTGCATTGGTGTTATGACATTGTGGGATAAACTCAGGTAGCTAGTTAATTCGCATGGTGATAATTGTTTCTAGTTGAATGTTGACATATGGTTATCTTGTGTGGTAGTACTCGCTAGTTTCTAATCTAAAAAACTTGAAGATGTAGAGTATATGTGAAGTTTTGGTGCAGACGATAGCAAGAGCCTTTAACTTTTGAAGTTGGGTTCTGATTTGATTTTGTTAATGCAACATTGTTCATATGTTCTGGAATTGCCTAATTCGTTAATGCGTAGTTCTATTTCTCTTCTCATTTATCTTAATCTTACATTTTAAATATTTACTGACAAGCTTTTAAATTACTTGTATTTAAGATGATGGCTTCTGTTCTGTTAGTTTGCATGGCATTTTCTGTGGAAGTCATCTGCAATTTTTCAAGGTTTTTTAGGATGCTTACCTGACTTTCTCATAAAAGGGATTTGTTTCTCTGTCTCCCTTAATTAAGTCATTCTCATAAACCATGGATCATGTTAGATTCAGTGTCAAAAAAATGATCATTACACGTGAAGTAGAAGTACAATTTGACATGAGTGAACATTTGTGTCTTGTTGTCATGTGTGAATTAACTTTTAACATATTTTTCTCATCATAATTTTTTGGTGCTTCAAATTGAATTTTATGTTTCACATCATTTTTATTGTACTCTCTGGTCAAGATTTTCTTGCTTCTTGGTTAGGGCTGAAATGCTTCGATTTGTGATTTCATTGTAAATAAAATGTGAGCGATTGGGGATGAATACAACAAACATGTTTTCACAGCGTTTCTCAAAGTGTTGTAGGGAGGCAATGGAACTGGAAAGGTGTTGAATGTGTTGTCTGTTTAGCAAAATGGTATGTTACCTGGTTAAATTGTGTAAAGAATTAAGTTGATCTCCTCTAGATTGTTTAAACATAGGTTTGTGCTTCATATGAGCCTCCCGTTTCTGATTTTGAATTTTTATTACATAGATGTGAAATTATGACATTTCTTCATTATCTTTCTCAGTGATTCAATTCTTTGACTTTCCTGATTTAGAGATGTTAGAATTTGTCTTTATTACAAGATGACTAATCTGTGAAAGATGCGAGATGATATGTTGGTGTATTGATTCTGGGGATTAATTTAGTGGTTTTTTGCATGTGTAGCTTAAGCATGACATAAAATGGGCTGCTTGGAGGATTCTTCAAAATGCATTTTTCTTTTACACTTGGCCTTCGGTTTTATCTCACCTTTTTATCCTTTAAAATGACCAGAAAACCTTGCGTTTGAGTTGTGTACATGACAGGGATGATAAATTATTAGTATTACATGTGAAAGTTTTCTTTGTTATAGTTTCGGTTATCTCTAATTATCAGGTTCTTTTACATGCAGACGAGGAGGGCCTTCCAGCATGAGTTGAACCATGTGGAGAGACTTGGATACTTGAAAGCCATCGGTAGGATGGACCCGAATCAGTCAGACCGTGTAAGGTTTTCTCTAGTTCATTGTATTTTGCATCCAATGATGGATTCCCATGAGATTCATGTGATTGACTGATTCTTATGTTGGAGGTTTTGAACAAATTAGTCATTTGGTTCACCTCTTCGGAGTTGTATTAGTTGTTAAACGCAACATTAATGGGACTAGCTACTTGTAAACATGGGCATCTCTCGAGAAAACAAAGATAAAAGGAAAATGCGAAAAGTGAAAAGGAGGATAACAAAGGTGCTGATATCTCCCAACTCAAGGATCTACATAGTTCCTTCCTAGCCTTCATGACCTTGTTAACACTGGCAAAATGATAGTGGCGTAAGGCCCTGAGCTAAAATCCACTACATAAAACAAGACAACTAGTACAAACTTAAAGCAAGATCAAAGTTAAATTAGCAACTTAATAAGGTACTGAGTTGAATCTATGACAGGTTTTATTGCAATTATCCTGAAATTCCCTCTTAGGCAGTGCATAAGTCCTAGTTTAATACCACATCTGCGGTTCATTCTATGGGAAAAGTTAGTAGGCTAGTAGCGGTAGAATTTTTCCACTATATTGGGGCCTATAGAAATTTGTCCTCTCAAGACATTCATATTGTAATCGCAAAATGAGAGAGTACCACATGGATATTATGAGAGAGAATCATATATAGGACTGCTATTCACTACTTTGTTTTGTTCAGATTCGAAACTCTGTTTTAATTTGCCTACTTCAAACGTGAGAGGAGAAATTTGAATTTAGGATGGGACATCTTTCGAAATACCACTAGTTTAAAAGTCGAATCTTCATGAGACGACACAATATTTAGAGAAAAGACAAATTCCACTAGTTTTATATTCCAATCATGAGGAGAGTCGTTACTTTTTTAGTGGGGTGGGGCCAGCATTTGCCAACATTAATCCATAGTGAATTATAAGTTATTTATACCGACACTTCTGAGTTTTTATTTTATTTTAATACAAGCGATAGTTTAAATTATAAAGGGAATGTGAATTTCTTTCACACACACACTACAATATTGTTATGAGAGTTCGAATCTAAAACTACTAGTCTGCAAGTAAAGACATTTTTCCTTGAGTTATACCTCGTTGGCCACTCTTGAGGTTTTTACTGTTTTACAAAATTCAAGAGGTTTCAAAAACTACACCAACACCTAATGAAGTTTCAAATTGATTTCACAAAATCAATTTCATCAAAAATTAGATTGTACATACATCACATCATTGAGGTTAATTGTCATTTGAAGAAGCTTTTTTCATGACATCAATCATTTGTCGATAAAATATTAATATAAGGGATTTTGTGATATTGTTGCCATGAATATTGTTGTTGATGACTATTTAAAAAAGATTGATGACTAAAATTTATTAAGGGATAAGTTTTAGTCATCAAACTCTTATAAATATTCTCCATTTTTCCTTCAAGTTAAACAACATATTCATATTATGCCTTAAATGCACGTGAAATTTGAACATTTTGCAAGCCTAGTTTAGTCTAGCCCTCCCTATTAAAAAAGCTCTAGAATACAAAAAACCTTAGGAGGTGTCAGCAGCATAAACAGCTCTGTATTATAACTCCTAGTCCCACCAAAACCAAGGCAAGTTGAAAACCATGGGCTGATGGATAAAGATCAAACAAATTAACAAAAGCATATATTATAACTGAAGTGTCTTATTATCTTCCCAAAACAGGGGCAGTAAAAACTACAACCACCTTATGCATACATGCCACATAAATTACAGAGGAAAACAGCGACAACGGGAAAATGGAAAGCTGATTTCCGGGAAAGCTCTATAGAGGAACCCGGGAAAACTGTAAAACTTTAAGCGTTGGTGGTGGTGGCGGCGGTGGCGGTTGGCTTCTGAATGATAAAGGACATACACTGACCCTGGTTGATGTTGTCAAATGCCAAACAGCGTATAAAAGCATTTGGGTAAGCTGTTTTGCACTGGTAGATTTCATTGAGCACCAGAGACGGGTCAGTGCAACCAAACATGGGCAGCTTCCACAATGTCCAGTATCTCCCATCGTAGTAGCCTGGCATCGTGCTATTCTCCCTGTAAACATGCCCGATCTTCCATGGTTGCAACAATCAAACATTAACGAGTGTTAATTTATCTCCCAAAAATTTATCAAATTCAATGATAAATCCTACTGCAAGCCTAAAGATCTCATCAGTAAAGTACCCTAGAGATAACTTCTTGTTGATTGGAATAAATCGTCCGAATCCGATCGATTAAGTCTGGTAAAGAGTCTTAAAGACTGTACAGTCCAGTCCAGTCCAGTCCAGTCTAATACATTATAGTGCAGAAGTTGAAATCTATTACGGTAAGAACACAGAACAACATGAAGAGGCTTGTAGCTCAAGTGATTAAGAGCCATTACTCTGCACCCGAGGTCTTGTGTCCAAATCCCTCCTCCCCCGATATCCCTTGGATTGAAAAAAGAACACAGAACATCTAAAGTTTTAAAATCAACTGACCTCATCGAATTCGAGGCAAGGGATCCATCCTTTCTTGAGCATGTAGTCAATCTCCTTTGCAATTGAATCATCAGAGAGTGGTGGAAGGTAGGACAGAGTCTCAAACTTCTTGTTGTTGATTGGGTTCCATACCTGTAAAATCAAACAAACCAAGAATAAGAATCTTGGGTACTTGGGATATAATCATAGAACAACCTGTTAGATTTAACATTACCTTCATGCAGTGAGTTCTTGAACCATTGGAGACGGTTTTCTTGGTCCATCCAATCGAATCTTTAACCGGGAAAATTTTCGGAGGGTTGGTTGACAGGCCAACGTAGCCGGATGCAGCAACCGGAGCACTGAAGATTGCAGAAGACATCTTCAAGCTTTATTGTTTACCAGGATGATTGATCACATATGAGAAAAATGCAAAGTCTGGTCGTGCACAAACTTGAAGCTACACAAACACAAAGTTGAAGGCTATTCTTCTGAAGGTGGTGGAGGTGGTTGGAGAAGAAAACAAAAGGAACCAGCTTTGGTGCTTGTAAGGCTGATCTCAGGTTTGGTTAGGTGGCAGTGGAGAGTGGTATTGAGAAGACGGTGGGTACAATGGTATTTCAATTCCTGCTTTAACCATCCTCTCACTAAAAATCAAAATCCAAGAGAGGATTGGGCCCCACCAATTCATGGTGCCACTAGGGAGCCTTTAGCCAATTTTGCAGACATCAGACTAACCGTTGGAATTAAATATATAGGAAGAAATGGCTCATCATCTCTGTCATTGGCTTTTCATGGAGCTCGGAGAAAACTTCAAAAATTGCTGGATGTGGACGGGTATTTCAACAAACTTCTAGCCAACTGATGGACAATCTTGTTCCACAAACTATACTAATTATGGAAAATATTTTTAATTCTAATAATTTCCCTCCCTAAGGGACTTCGAATTGTTCGAATGGCACACCGAAGGAGGCAGGCTTCTGAGCTAAATAAATACAACAGCATTCAATGTAGAGATATGCAGCTAGATGCATCTTTGGAAGAACAGGATAGACTTGCCTCTGGATTTGATCTTCCCAATACGCCAATAAAGACTTCTTTAAAGCAACGATGCATCATTACCAATTGAAAAGCCTTCAAGATCCCTTCTGAGTTGGTTTAAAGTTCTGTATATCTTTCTGGAATGAGAATGAGACTTATCGTCAGCTACAAATTTATGGACAACACCATCAATCTCGATGAAGCTCCAAGCAGAAGTTGTAACTACTTCTCTATCCTTCATCATTTTCCTGATCCTCGTCGCATCCTCCCAGTTTCCCATTTCGGCATACATGTTGGCCAGAAGAACATACCTTCCACTATGTTGAGGTTCTAACTCAATCAGAAGCTTCCCCACCCTATCCCCTAACTCACCATGGCCATGAATCAGACAGCCATTAAGCAAAGACCCCCATATCCCTCCGTCCGGTTTCATTGCCATACTTCTTATCAATATTTCTGCATCCTTCACTTGTCCGGCGCGTGCCAAGAGATCAACCATGCACCCATAGTGCTCAATCCCTGGAGCAATACCATAAACTTTACTCATGCGTCCCAACAAGCGCCATGCTTCATTTACCAGAGTTTTGTGATTGCATGCAGTGAGAACTCCAACAAATGTCACAGCATTTGGTTTAGGTCCCTTCTTTTCCATTTCTGCAAAAAGTGCAAGCCCCATATCATTCTCACCATTGATAGCAAATCCCATGATCATAGCACTCCAAGTAGTCACATCTTTACTAGGCATCACACTGAACACTTCTTGTGCATCTTCAATGCATCCACATTTTGCATAAAAATCTATTAGTGCAGTACCGAGCTCAAGTCCATACTCGATACCATTTTCATTCAAAAACAAATTAATCCATTTCCCTTCTTCCAATGCGCCCATGGACGCGCAAGCATTAAGAACACTGACCAAAAGAGACTCTTTGGGCTTGACATGACTCTTCGATTCACGAAACAGGTCAATAGCTTCATTGAAACAAGCATTCCAAACATACCCAGAAACCATTGCGCTATAAGAAACATCGTTTCTCTCTGGCATTGCATCAAACAAATCGCGAGCCTCATGAACCAACCCATTACTACAATAACCACTAATAAGGCTAGTCCAACAAGCCACATTCTTATCCAAACTTTCCTCAAACACTCTACGAGCAAATTCCACAGCTTCACATTTGCAGTACATACTAATAAGTGAGCTAATAACATAAACATCACAACCGTGTCCAAACTTCATTATCTGACCATGTAGCTGACCAAGCGAAGATACATCAACACATGCTTTAGCTAAAAAAGTGAAAGTACGAGCATTTGGCTCAGTGCCCATCCTTCGCATTTTGGTGTAAATGGAGAGACCCTTTTCAGATTCTGAGCATTTCAAGAAACCCGTAATCATGGAATTGCAATCAAAGATGTTGGGTCTGGTGATTTGGTATAATAGTGTCTCAGCGTAGTGCAGATTGCCATATTCTGATAGTGCAGAGAAGGCTAAGAGCTTGCTGGCAATGAAGGTGAAACGAGCAAGACCGGTGGTGACTATTTGGGCATGGATTTGCTTAAGTTCGTTCAAGCTTGAACATCTTTGTAGTAGGAGAAGATATGGAGGGGCTGTAACTGATTTAGAGAAGACTCTGCTGCTCATGTGGTAGACTACACTTTGAAGTTGACAAACAAGCAGCTATAGTGTGGTAGCGTAGTAGGTCCACATGATATAACTCGTTCACGTGTTATAATACAAGTGGATATTTCATGATACTATACTCTAAAAGTGGGGAATGTCAACCATGTCGTCCACCCATATTATATAATGTGACTGTACTACAGTACCATACAATAATTTCTCCATGTAAAGCCTTTTTATCAGACTTTGTGGGGAAAGTGCTCAGCTGTGTGAAACTCAAACATAATCAAATCCAAGACCTGTCACTGTAGATATAATAAATATTGAGAAAGCCACAAAATAACAAATGAATTTTAAGCTGGCAAAAAGAAGAGAGAGAGAAAGGATGGGATACCTTTTTTTTGGTATTATAAACAATTATTTGACTACTAGTTGTAGTGATAGAGTACTGAAATAATTGAATATTGTTATTTCCATTATAAAAAATTAATCCGATGTCTTAAATTTAATAAGTGGCAATAACATCTTTTGATCCTCACAACACTATGTTTCCTTCATATTCTTTTGGCTAAAGTCACTAACATTCTCATTCTTGCTTGTTTTTCGTTTTTGCTAACCCTAAACGCAGAAAAATTAAACAAAATAAATGAACATGGGCAAATCAGAGCACACACCTAATGGGTTTTAAATGAATGAGAAAATCCTTCAAAAACCCCAGATTTCAGTAATACTCACTATGTTCCCTTTGTCAGTAAATTCTTTGTAAAACCCATTGAACAAATAATCATTGAAACCAATAAAACCATTCAACAAATTAAACCTAAGAAAAACCCAGATATTTGTAATACCCAATCAGAATCAAAGTTTGTTTTTTATTTTTTTTCAGTAAAATTTCTGCAAAACCCAAATGGTATAAACCCTTCAACAGAACAAATAAAAGAGTCCAGAATTTTGTATTACCCAATTGGAAACATGTTACCTGATGCCGAATGGAGGAGTGAGAGGAGTGTGAGCTCTTGTCAAAGGAGAGGGCTCTAAGAGGAGTTCGAGCTCAGCCCTGACCCGACCCGTTTCGGTGTAGGCGGCACAAATATGGGAGAGAGGGTTTGGACTTTGAAGACTTCGGGGTAAGAGCAGGGGAGAAAAAAAGGCGGGATGGGAAAAAGATGAAGAGAGAGAGTTTCAAATTTTGCCATAAAACAGTTGGGAAGAGAGGGGATATAGAGAGGAGAAAAGAGTCCTGACACGGAAAAAAAAAACCCAAAAAGAAAAAGAGAAGAAAAAGAGTTGCCGGAAAATCTACCCACCTCAACGAGAAATTCTTGAATCCGACTGCCAAATCATGTCACTCATATAACTACATATAAAATAACGTGACACCCTATATTTTGGTCCAACAAAACTCCACTATGTTTCTACCCTGTATATAATAGGCAGATGCAAGAACTTCTACATGCTAATGGGTGCGTGAATGATGAATCGAACACAAGACTTCTGGTGCAAATATAATTGTTTTTAACCACTCAAGCTAACAAGTTCCTTGACGAGAAACTCAATATTTAATAGAATAGACAATCTATTATTAAAATAAACAGTCAACCAATCACCAATGATGGTCCAAGAGCATACATATTGATAGATACAACTGCTATTTATTACTGAAAAAATTGCTAGCAGAAACAGCATATCCATGAATGAAGCCGAAACTGGATTTAAATAAGAAATGAAATCTAGCATTTTTACATCATAAGAATGGCAAATGAGGATGGTAATATAATTGATGATGGACTATAATGACATTGCCAGGAGATCCAACTGAATTGCTGCTGCAGGCACTCTTAATAACTTATACCAACAACCCTAACAGAGGATAATCAATGCCAAAGCTTCATGCAGAACCCATTTGGCACAACAGATGATTTCTTACATGAAATACTTTCAGAAAAGGTGTCAACAAGTTGCCCTGCAAGAGATGCAGGATCTTCAATAAAGGTATCTACAAACACTCTCACAATCCTTACCTCCTGAGGGGTAGCTCTCAAACTATACCAAGTCAGAAATTTCTGCCGGAAGTTCTGCTCGATATGTCCCTCACACTCTAACCATCTGATAACCTTCACATAATACTCAAAGTCCCTATTTGAAACACCATTTGCCACACACTCCTCATCTTGCCTTTCCCCACTTCTCTTCTTCGATGTGCTGCCATCTTGGGGTTCCTCTTCTTTCCCAGTCCCATTTTTTAAATCCTTGCTACTGGAATTGGATTTTTCATTCCTTCCTAGCCCATCTTTGAGTGTTTCGATTTTGCAAGGAGTGATTGGCAAGCCAGCCTCGGAGCTACCAACAAATGGTACACATTCCATTCCAGTTCGAACAGGGGAATTTGATCCATTATCAGTGCTGATGTCTTCGATGATTTGGCCCTCTGGTGATTTCTTGCACTCACGTTTTAGGACATCCGAATTAGATACAGAGCCAACCATCCCATTGGCTTGTTCCTCGTCCAACAAAGAAATTGCATCTGCTGTAGGTCCTCCGCCCATGCTATTGCAGTTGATAGCATCATTTGATATATTGGCAGAAACAGTTTTGTCAGTGTCCTTGCAATAAGTAAGATAATTGTCTGCTCGGTTATCAGCCTGATCACCATATGGAATAGCATTATTAGTTTCATCTTCCACTGAAGAAGGATTAGAAAGGCTGCTACAGTTGGTAGCCGGGCTCTGACTTCTCTCTGTCACTGAACAATTAGGGACTTCATCTCCAGCAGTACTTGTAGAGAGCCGAACTTCACACATGCCCAAATGTCTTGTACCATGAAACGAAGTGACTTTGAAACAGTACTCTGTAGCTGGAATTAGTCCAGTCACAACAAACCGCATCTTCGGTGCAAAGAGCGTGCACGTGGGTTCCGCTGGATAATTCATATCATCAGCCTTACAGTGCCATAACTTGTAACCTGCTATATTTTCTGGGGGAGGATATTCGGAACCCAAAACCACAGTGAGGGATGTAGCATGGACATTCTCAAATCTAACCATGTCTGGAGCAATCAAACTTGGATCTGAAAGTTTAAAAGAGCACAACAACAAAACAACCATTAAATCCCTTGATGAACACGTGTCTGAAGAAACCAATAAACAAGATAAGATACATTATCTACAATAACATCATGGATTTTTTGTGATTCAATTAGGAAGAGGTGATGAGAGAAACGAAGAAACCAGACAACTCTGGTATAACATAAATGAAAAGGTCATATGAAACTAATTACTTATTACAATTACAACGTTGGTATGTTTGCTACATAAGGTGACCAGCAAAGTTGTGGAATGCAAGTCCAGTGACTCTGGTTAGGGAGTGACAGTTGCAGAGAATTAGATTACCTTGTCTAGTAGGCTTGGGCAATGAATGCGACGTTGCATTGGAAAGCATTGAATCCAGTGACTCCACAGCAAATGCACAAAGTTTCTGAATCTCTGGTCCAGAAGAAAGCCTGTTAACAATACCCCGACCCATCTTTAATGGTAAGCCTGTTAATGGACCCACTTCAGCTTGAAGCTTCTTCACAGCTTCATCCACAATCTCATAAAGTTTTTGATACTTTTCAGTCCCTCGGAGAAGCTTATGACTCAAGAAGATACGATAGCACAGTATGTCCACTCGTCTGGTATCCTTTGCCATCACTAGTTGCTTCCTCCAGGATCTAAATACATGCAAGAACACAATGCCAATCAGATTGTTGTACACGAGGAAAAAGTAATATCTAAGCTAACTGGTACAGAAAATTAGTAATAATTACATGCTTCGTTGTGATATTACATGCTTTGCATTAGTTATAAACAGCATTCGCAGAGAAGAAATAGCAACCATTTATTTGCATCATATTAACTGGCAACAAATTCATTAGTCAACCACTTACAATGCCTTACAAATAGAAGAAAATCCATTTTTCTTTTTTATTAGTCTTCTCCGTTTTGGAGGAATTTATACAAGAACAAAAGTGCAATACTAGGAAATAATTCAAACTATAGCCAAATTACAAGTAATCAGCCAAGTAAAATGTAGTGACAGCCTAATTACAAGCAATCAATCTAATCAATTCAAATCAGCAACACCACCAACCCCAACCCCCCACCCCAGCACCCTCATGCTGGAGCATGGGTATTTCAAATGCCCAGCTTGACAAGTGCCAATTAAAGATTTTGCGGTCAACATCCAGCCAGACCAAGCAGTGCCGATCGATGTTGGCCCCGACCAAGCACAGCGGTCAACATTATGTCCGGACCAAGCACAGCGATCAAAATTTTGTCCAGACAAAGCACAGAAATCGACATTTTCTCCAGAGTCCAGACCAAACACAGCAGTTGACAATTGTCTAGACCAAGCAGCAGCCGTTGATGTATGTCCAGACCAAGCCGCTTCAACTAGAAGCAATCCTCAGCAAATAGTTAGAGTTCTTGTCCTCCACATTGAAATGGTCCTTCAAGGCCATGATGATGATCGCTCTTCAAACCAGTGGATAGTGATCATTCTTCTATATGTTGCAATTAATCTCACAGTGAGATTACGAGTTATGGATGGTACAGGTTTGGTACCCTGGCTAAAATTCAAACAAATATCCTCACTTTTATTTTAGATATCTATAACACCAGAACAAATATCTGTACCAAGCCGAGATATCAAGGCCTCGACACTTCGAATTTATTGGCCGATACAAATATCAGTACCCAGGCCCAGAACAAGGAAACAAGGTGGCAGATGTAGAAGGGTAAGGAAACACCAGCTCAACACTTTTATCTAGATTAAGTAGTGTAAGAGCCAAAATCTACCCTCTAGAAACTTGCCTTGATACCATGTTGGAAAAGAGAGGAAAATCCCTTTTTCTTGTTTATTAGTCTTCTCCATCTTGGAGGAATTTATACAAGAACAGAAGTGCAATACTAGGAAATAAATTCAAACTATAGCCTAATTAAAAGTAATCAACCTACGTCAAATCTAGTGATAGCCGAATTACG